ATCTTCTACCAATACCTAATATCAACAACATGCAATTTCTATGTCAGTAGTCTGCCGATTTGATATGTAAGCTATTTACCAGGAATATGATTTCAGAGCACGTTAAAAAAAATACTTTCACAATCAATTAACGTTTCCAAGTGAAAATCAATCCATATTTCAACAAATGCAACATGTCTATCATTTTCCATAATATAATTCTGGTCATTTATTCTTTTAAATCTTTTGAGGGTATACAAATACAACTGAATGAACAATAAAACAAATTAGAGTGGTTTTAGTAAAGGTTTGAAAATCTCAAGGAAGAAAGTTATATAACTTGTGAAATGATTTGCCCAATTCGATCATTCATCAAATAAAAACATACGCCCTGAATACCTATCATATTCTTCAACAGAAAGTCAAAACAATATTTAGAATCCTTAGTTTCAATGCAATTACAAAAAACTACAACAAGCACTTATACTAGAAATGAAAAATAATAAAAACAAGGTGAATGATAAATAGAAAAATGCAATTCAGATTTTCCTCAAGTTGTGAACACTTCCAATGCTTCAACCTAGAAATCTCACGATAAACTATAAGACACAGTTAATACTTAGCTCTCACAAGTTTCGACTCATGAGGGTTGTCACTTAGTAGCGTGACAGCTGGTTGATGGAAAACAGATTTATCAAACTTACGAGTTATTTCTGATGTCATTTGTATATTTATGATTCAAATTCGTTTGATAATGATTACACCTATTCAAAAGCTGTTGGGAGAGCAATCAAACTTTATGTTCACTTTCTGAATTCATCGTGATAGTGTTAATGAACGCACTGTAAAACGTTGGTTTGTGAAATTTCGTTCCGGAGATTTAAACCTTAAAGATGAGCCCCGAAGTGGTCAACCTGCAGTAATCTAGGTCGAGAGTTTGAGGACCCTGGTGGAGTATGACCCATCACAAACGGTGCGTGGGATGGCGCAAGAACTGGGCGTCAGACGCTATACGGTTTTTGATGGTTCATAACGTATTATGGAGGTTGAAAAGCTCTAATAGTGGGTGCCCCACGATTTGAACGATAGACAAAAATTGTCACGTTTTAAGATCTGTTCTTTTTTGCTTTTGCGCAACCAATATGAGAAGTGGATTCTCTACAACAACAGGAGACGTTGACAGACAATGAGAGACACTGGTTGGACACCGATGAGCAACCCAGGTACTTCCCAAAGGTGAAAACCTACCAAAAAAGAATGGTGGGTTTTCACCTGGTGCTGAATGGTGGTCCATAGCTGGTGTGATTCACTATAACTTTCTGCAACCGGGCCAAATCATTACATCAGACTCCTATTGTGGGGAAATCAACGAAATGTACCGAAAATTGCGTCAGCAGTAACCAGCACCGGGCAACAGAACGCAACAACGCCCATCCGCACGTTTCATAAATCACCGTCTGAAAATTAACCTAATTGAGCTTCTAAGTTTTGCTCCACCCACCATACTCCTTAAACCTGTCGCCAACGGACTACCATCTTTTTAAGCACTTCGATAATCTTCTCACCGGTAGAACCTTTGCTAATCCGGACTTCAACGAATCCAGAGTACACAATTCTTATGGTGGCGGAATAAATCAACTTGTGTTACGTTGGCAAAAGTGACCTGATTCAAATGACGCTTATTTCGATTAAATCAAATAAGTATTCACAGAGATATTACAGTTTAAAGTTAACTCATAAATTTTGAAATAATCTGATAACATGTTTTAATCTCCAGAAAACATTGTCCACTCATTTTGTGACTACCAATAAACTACTATTTATGGCAATTATCTTCAATTCAACAAATGACCGGCCTCAAATGTGTGTGTTGAATGAGTCTAAAATAATCTCTGTTCCAATGCAACACTCTTTTCAACTCAACTCAAAGTGGCGACATCGAAAAATTAGGTAGTCTGGTCGGAGAGAGGCCAGTTGTTTAGCTTTAGTAGTTCGTTCCACTAATTTAAGCAACGTCTATGTGAATGTTGAGTCAATTCCAACTGCTGGATGGTGAAGTACCAGTTTTGACTACTGAGGGTTGTTACCCATAAGGGAGAAACAGCTGCATAACAGTAAAACACATTTCAACATATTTTACGGAAACCTGCCCAATACAACTGACATAGAAAGGAAATTGAAGGAAGACCATCTAAATAAGGGGATTTAATAGGTAATAAGAATTGGAATGTTATGAATTTCAATTAGGCGATTATTGAATGTGTGCACTTTTTTTGAAAAAGGTATCTACCTACCTTTTTGATGTTTGCTACTTAATATTAAATTATTTAGTTCAATTAATTTTTTCTTGCATCTTCTTGAAGATCCTTACTAGAGATTGAATTGAGTTTCAATAGTAAAGCTTCAACTTCAAACGCTTTTTTCTCAGGACGTCTACAATGTCACTTCGGCACTTTTGCTTCTACCCTTTCATATTCATAACAAAATAGGTCATTAGCAATACATACATGTATTGACTTGTGAGATATATTTCTTTCATTAGAGCCCATGAAACTATTTTGAAAAATCTTAATGTTTTTTGAAAATTTTGACTGCATCATAATACCAATCTGATGAGATGAGATGAAAACTTCCATAAAACAATGAAAATGTATGAAAAAACTAGATATTTCAAAATATTGGCAAAATATTCTACAGTAAAAGTATTCAAGCGACTACAAAAATGTTCTTTGCAATCGGCAATAGATGATACAGCATAAAGCAAAAGGTTATGTAATATAAAACTCTCTCTCGAGACTCTCTAATAAACTTGCAAAACAGTCATTCAAACATATCACACATTCAACAAATGATTTTTTTTAGTCTGTTTCAGTTCTCAAACAGTATTATGTGTTTGCAAAACAATAATTCTATCAACTCGATGCAAATTGATTATGTTTTAGTTGAGTTGATATGACTGCTTCTGAAGGTATGAAAAGCCTAAGTAAAAAAAAGCTGACTGAACTGGTCCTCCACAGTTTTTGTCCTGCCAAAATGTTTTAAGGCAATGCAGCAATATATGCGAAGTTCATTTCTCTCCACTTACGCCACCATTCCTGTATTGAACTGACTCTGGTCTTCCTCCTAAAGGTGCTTGGGGAAGTTTCTCTTTAAGCGTATTGAACTTAGCTTGCATTAGTTTAAGTTGAGTGTGCAATGAGCTACTGAGCTGTTTTTGTAAATCTTGCACTTCCATTAAATCTTTGCGCAAGTTTTGGTAATTAGTTCTCACTTCTCCCACTGACTTTAGAATATCATTCACCTGTACATGTTCTCCATTTTCCGAGAAAATGTCGCTCTCAATATCACTTACTTGCTGTGCTAAACTGCCCATTCGTTCATCAGTTTGTTTCATCTGAAAACATCCCCTCTGCTTATCAAAAATACTAGAGGTGACTTTGATATTAAGCTACAGTTTACAGGAATAAATATACCTTGCACTCTATGTCCTCTACTACTTGATTCATACCAGAAAAAGGACTGTATTCACAATTCAAATTAAAACAGCAAAATTTAACGATACAGAAATTAGAGAATTTTAAGTGATTTAACCTTTTTTACTTTTTTCATTTTCTTATAAACGGTTAACAACTTCTTCCATTTGCATGGTATTTGCTTCCTTAGTCAGGCGCATTTGGCCAGTGCGCCCCTAGATTAATGGAAGAGTGATATATCTGCACTTTATTTCATCCTATCTGTACTTGTGATCTGTACTGAAATTCACATCTACCTTGAATTTTTACACTTACATTTTATGTTTCTGAAAGCGAAACGAGCGATAATATCACTTATTGCTTCCTCGATTGTCGTTTATTATAACTTAATTATATTTTGTTCCTCAGTATGAATTGTCCAATAAAGCTTATTATTATTATAACATAACATAATAGGAGCTTCGTCAGAGGTATAGTTAGACTTGCTCGAAACAATACCGCACCATATATGTAGCATTACTTGTTTTCTGCTGTTGGTTTGTCAAATATTGTGTATACAATTACATGTGAAATTATATGACATCGATTTGAACTTTATTAGAATTGTACTTTTCTTCCTGTTATTGTAAAGTTCAATTTTTTTTCCATCAGGAATATCCCAGTGTCAGGCCCTGTCTCTGGAGTCCGACACTTCCAAGGGGCGTGCTGGATTAATCTACTATTGTTATCATTATTATCCTTATTATATTATTCTTAACGTAAAATACCTTGTCTGTAAAGTGACGAGTGTTTATTTATTGTTTCTACATTGTCTATATAATATTGAGTCATGGTAGAAAGAACTATTTTGCAGATCTGCTGATCTGCAAATTGTTCTCAGTAAACATTGCTTTCGTAATTTTGTAAAAAGAGTGAAATTATTGCAAGTCGGGGCTCCCAGATGGAAAATTCGACCAAATCAATAATTTTCGACAGAAAAAAATTCTGTAGTTACAGTAGTTAGTTTAGCTACAAATCTACAGTTATTGATCACTATACCTATCTTAATCAAAATGCTTGTACTGCAAAGTACTGCTACCGCAATGTTACTAAGTATCAAACTTTCTACGACCACAATAATAGGTTCTTATTTCGAACACAGAATTAGAAATTGAAAAGTTATTCACAGTACGAAACGACAACTAACCATTTCAAAATATCTAATAAAAATGTAAGAATGATTATCCATAAACAGTCAAGATAAAAAATGATGCATGTTGGAAATAAGACGATAATTTTATATGTTAGATTATCATTTCCAGCATTTGAATGTTTTATAATTGAATTTTATTATTAATTCGAAAGTGTTAAAGTATGTTTGTAAGTTTTTCGATTAATTTGACTGAAAGTTTGATCAACATATGATTTTTTTGTCCATAACTTCCCTTATATATGAGTTTTATTCATTACCATCATTAAATAAAACAAAATAAGATTATAGATGAGATTAATAGTTTTCTAAAGCTTTTTTAGGAAATTTAGTTTTACCAAAGAGTAGAATCTTTGGTTTTACTCTAGGACATGGGGTTGGCAACATAGAAAGATAAACGTAAACAGTCTCCATTTTAAATTGTAGTGTTTACATTATTTACTATTTATTTGAAATTTTTGAGTACTTTCCTTCGTTTTAGGTTAACTTCAAGTAAAATGGGTCGTCCGAACAAATTCATAATCTTTTAATGAAAGATTATAGTACTATTTATAATTTTTCATTCATAGGCAGGCAAAAGTACATTCACAATGGTTAGAGGTAATATGTAATTATGTTAAAATACTTCCTATTTGAATTTATTTTGTGTTTTTTAACAATATAATTCTCTTTTCCGGATTAATAATAGAAAAAAAATGTATGATGAATACATATATAGTATTGTGTGAATTTCTACATAAGTATTTGAATAAGTACTTGAAAACTAGAAGTTATATGTTTTTTCAGCCATAATCAAAAGGACAAAGAGAAGTGTAGTTTCGGTAAAATGTGCAGATAATGACAATCACAAACTAACTGAATATTTTACTATAAGAAAATCCGACAGAAGAACTAAAGGAGAAGTTCAAGAGGAAAAAAGGAGGTTATTAGAATTCGCTCTGAGAAAGGGAGTTGAGGATGGCTTGGAGGTATCTTTTCTTTTATTCAGTGTTGTCATTTTATAGTTTTTTTCAAGTAATAATACTACAAAAATATTTGCTAGTGTAACCAGTTCCTATCCTGCTGCTAATGGTTTATAATAATTTCCTCTCTCGAAAGGTATCTATGGGATGATTTCTGGGAATTATTGAAAAATTTTCTTTGTATCAAAGTTTCATTAGGAAAAAAAAGAAGCATCTTTAGAGGTGTTCTTTTCTATTCCCTCCCACAATTCTAGTTTCACTGATTATCAATCAAGTTAAATAAATTTCTTAATTATTACTGCAGTTTTATCGCAACACCAAACTGGTATTTTAACACCTCAACACGTGTTTCGATCACCAAGTGATCATCTTCAAGAGGAAGATTTAACTTCTTAAACTACCTAAACTCAGTACTTGCTGATGGTTTACTAAAATGTCAGCTCGTTGCTGATCTGAACTTATTTGTCAGGCATTATTTTGACAGAGAATGTTCAACTCAAAGTTTTGTTCTTTCAGATTTTAAAGCTGATGTCATTTTAATGCAAGACAGATTGTCTTAAAATATTTTGATTGGGTAAATATCAACATTTAAAAAATTATGATATCTTTTTAGTTAGAAACAAACTTTCAGTAACACATAATGATGATAGTAATAATAATATTAATAACCTTTATTACCCAAAGTTAATAACCATTTACAGGGTTAACTATGTTAAAAAAGTAATGTGGGTGCTTATAACTGCAAAGTTACAATTTGAGAAAATGAATAACAAAAATATAAAAAAATAAAGTAAAAAAAAATATGACAGAAAGTTAATAATTCTCTACGGAAAACTGAGGTGCAGTTTCAACAATATATTCTAGACAATGAAAATCACACAAGTTTAAAATTAAATTGTAATTATTGCAAATGCTGAGGTACGAATTGGTTCTGGCCAGTTGGCTGTAAAAAGTTTTTGTACTTCTAGTTATAAAATGAGGCACACAGAAATTTATAAGAGACGAGAAAACACCTCCAAAGCATCCACATTGTTGTGCATCCACATGATAACAGTGCTATATATAATACAATTCGGCATTTGAAAATACAACAATTGTTTGTTTCTTAGATTATCATTAGCATTCAATTCAAATACATATCCAGATATGCCCTTTTTATTAGTTGGATCATTTGCAAAATCGGAGTCAACATAGAAAGTCAACTGAATGTTAGACTTCTTACTTTTTATGAATTTGAGTTTGTAATTTTCAGTTAGTTCAAATATAAAACAAGTTATTAATTAGCTAATTAAATTCATTATCCCAAGAAACATTACTTCATTGTAACTGAACGAAAGAGAACTCCATTTACACTATGAGGGATTCAAAAATATTTGTCATTCCAAAAAATTAAAATTATTTTATAATACAAAAAATATTTGTAAGTAGACTACATACTTGAAAGAAATAAAGCTTTGATGATTCTTGGTAAAATTTTAAGTGCATTAGTTTGAGTGTATATATATTCAATAAACAATACAAACATTGATAATCATTAATTATTAAGCAAGATATATGTCTACAGGTTAGGTATATCAAAAATAAAGGTAGAGGAGTATTCACAACTCGAAACTTCAATAAAGGCGAATTTGTTGTGGAATATAGTGGAGATCTCATAGATCTGCAGGAAGCCTATCATCGAGAACATGAATATGAACAGGATGAAAATATGGGGTGCTACATGTATTATTTCAAATATAACGAGCAGCATTATTGGTATGTCAAAGATTGAAACTAGTGAAAATATGTATCTACTTAACATTGACGCCCAATTTAATTTTACAGTGTGGATGCAACGGCTGAATCTGGCAAATTGGGAAGGCTGATTAATCATTCCAGGAACGGCAACCTCATCACAAAAGTTCTAATGGTTGATAAAATACCAAGACTGTCACTCTTGGCTAAAACCTTCATCAAAGCTGGAGAAGAACTGCTTTACGATTATGGAGATAGATCGAAAGAATCTTTGGAAAATCATCCTTGGTTGGCTTTTTAACAACAAACTGAATCAATTGGTTATATATAGCTTTGGTTTTGTTAGATATTTATGTACTACCATTCCACAAAAATGTAACTTCAACTATTTTGTTCCCATTTTTTGTGTATATGTATTACTGTATACTGAGTATTTTTTTTGGGTCATCAATAATAAAGTAGTTGAGGCTGTTTCTGAAAGTTCAGAGATGCTGCAAAAAATAATTTGACTTATGGATAGGATCATACAATGATTGAAGGACATCACTAAAATAAAAGCATCTCAAGAACGGAAGATTGTAGCCTCAGGCTGTAGTAACATTTGTATTGTGATATTTTAGATGGAAATTGACCCATTTTTCTTGAACATATTCATTGTATTTATTTTATTTATTTCATCAAATCAAATGAGTACAAAGTCAGGTAGCTTATTTTTCCTACTGGTGTGAAATAAGTTTTGATTATTGATACTTACATATAATGTATGCTTAGGGGTGTATAATAAGAGGGTATATTTGTGTTCTTTGAAAATGTTGAGTAATATTATTTAGATTTTCCATTGGAATCATTAATTGGAGTGAGAATGTAAATTTGCATTTAGAAAAACTCTTACCACAACTTCAAGGAGAGATATTTGGAAGTTATTGAAATGCTAAGAAACTGTAAATGATTCAGCTCTGAAATATTTAGTGTTTCATAAGTTTTTAGTGTCGTCGATACCATTTTCAGACAATGTAAGTTCTTGTGGCAAGAACACAATATAATTGAATGTGCTCATGAGTTGTCCAATAAATATAAGGAGGCCCAGAATAGATCCATGGTCGGTTAGATTAGGAAAAAGTTGCATACTTCAGAGCTTATTTATGACGTTTTAAGAGTTAGGAAATGTCTATTAGATTTGAAAAGAACCGAAATTCGTCAATTTGGTTTTCCTTTTTTCGGACGTTATTTGAGAAGATATTAAAAAAATGTTAGTGTTGCTACTTTCCATTTGTTATTGATAAACTCAATTCAGGGAAGTATGCGAGAAAGTCTAAGATTGTCTCCTCTGTTTTCAGAGTAATCTTTCTGATGATAAACAATATTAGCTCGAATCATTGATGTGGACGTTGAAGTTTGGTCTATATACAACGGTTTGGTTATGAAATAATTCAGTTTTGTTGAGACATTCTGAACATGTAGTAGGACTCATTTGCATTCAAGCAACTTTAGAAGGACTTCATGCCTTATCTTTGATTGTGTTTGGAATCACACTTAAAAAAAGGTACACAACTTCCTTAGATTGCTCAGATCAAATCAGATGTATTAGATCTACAACTAAACAATTTTTTTTCTAACGTTTCATAGATATTTTTCAACGCACATACATTCAATTATTATTTTCAATGAATTTTCCACTTCTTGGAATGAAGTTTTAAAAATTATATTGAAGTAAATAAGTATTTCAGTAAAAATGGTTTTCAATGTCTTCCAAATTATTCCATCATTTCTAATTTTTTTTTTCTACACATATAAAGATCCCCATTACAATTTTCATATTTTTCAGACTTTGGAATACCCAAAAAAGATCGATAAAAACTGGTATTCCTCTACAAAAAATGAGGCTCCTTCAATATCATAAGCTTTCGTTTTTCTAAATATACAATGCTTCTTATTTATACTTATCTATTCATTTCTGGAGTTTTTTCCGTTGAATGTGACTTGATTTTTATTCATTATTTTCTAAATTTACACAGTGGCAGCTGCTAATTGTGAAGATGGGGAGGCCCCCTTTTGAACATGAAGAAATGTTTCACAACCATTTTGGTTAACTTGGACATTTGTAAAGATTTATGAGTTGTCACTATCAATTACAGTAGATAACATATAATTCTTTTATATTTACATGATTTTAGATATTCATCAATATATGAAGCTATTCGTTTACATTTTTTTCAAGGTTTTATCCATTGAAATAAATTTTTTAGTATTTTCTTTGTAGTTTCTTTCATTTTTTCATAACATAGTAAAACATTTAAACAAATTCTAATTTAAACTGACACTTACAACAAAAAATAAACTTGAAAAAGGTGGAGTTACTAATTTGAGTAACTGAAAACAAGTCATCACTGAATTATATATAAGTAGAAAACATACATAACAAAACTTATGCTTGTGGTGAGTAACTATAAACATATCTTACAAAAGTTTCAAGCTAGATAAAGTATTGGTACCTCTGGCGTAAAATATATGTTTTTCCGTTAACCAGCTATCGCACCCCTACGAACGACAACCCTCAGAAGTGGAAACTTGTGCCAGCTAAGGACTAACGAGGTCTTACCTTTTAATGTGTGATTCCTAATGAAAACATTTTTCCCACACCAGAACATAATACAAATACCAAGTTAACATCGTCAGAAGATGACATTATCTCCTGAAGATGCTTACTTAGATAGAGATATGGCTACTGAGATATGCCCATGGCGAATATAAGAGTGAAGGAACCGCTACTGGCGAAAAAACAGGAAAGCGATAAAAGGTTCTAAGGAAGCCATTGAATAAAGACGCAGTGATACTCATCCGAATTTTGCAAAATTTTTGTGAATAAAATGGCTGCTACAAACAACTTTTCAACTATTCATTAGGTTTATTAGGTTAATTTTCAAAGGTTTTGTCTGTTTTTAATGGAAATAATTGCTATGTGAATCAGTGCCTGCCTGAAAAATCTTGAAAGAAAATATATGTTTTTGGTGATAGCTCATCTGATAGCAGCTCATGTGATACGTCACTAAACTTAAACCTCAAACCACCAAAGCATATTAGCACGCATATCATATGACATTTCTGAGTACTGACTTATGAATGACAGTTATCACATGTAAAGTGTCTCATGTGTCACTTATAGATGTCAAAGTAACTTAAAACGAAACATAACTATACAAGATAATTAAATGGAACTGGCCTATAGGTACTTGATAATAGTGATTTTTCTTTTTGGTTTCCGCTATAAAAGGTTTACAAAATCGCGATACCTGTTTCGCTATACGAAAGCTTCCTCAAGCAGGATTTGATAAAAATCCAACGCATGTGACAAAAATCCACATGCCAATATGGTTTATAATTGTGCCCCTCCGAAGTTTCCGTCATCTCATGAGAAACATAATTCAATAGTATTTCACTGCTGCTCAAATATTTATTTCAGTTATTTTACAGCACTCAATGGTTCAATCATGAACTATAGAAAAAGTAAAAAAAAATCAATTCATGTTTATTTCAATACACTCCACACCATTTTAATAATCGTATAACATATGATTTATGATGAAGAATTACACTGCTAGAATCGAAGTATTTTCTGCACCGCCCTGTATAATCGAATAGATTTAATGAACAAAAAAAGGAGTCATGAGATGTGTATTATTTGCAATATTCTATTCAAAGTATTTCGCAAATACTAACGTTGCTAAGGTGATATCATTTTTATATTGAAGGAAAAATAATGGAGACTGCGCCAACTGGTACATTGATTTTATACATAGATTCATTCTCCCACATCATGAACACAGTCTCATTAGAATGTATAATGGTCTGAAATCACTCAAATGTATTTATTAATTATCCCTACATTAGAGTTTTGAATATTTTGTTCTACTTTGAGTAACAATTTCATTGAAGGTACCAGTTGTTTTTAATTTTTCAGTTATCTATAGGTTTTGATTTCACAGTAATTATCTATTTAAAGTTTTTTTTTGGTGCATGCTGAAAGTTACACATCATTATTTCATCAAACTGGAAGATGAACTTTCATTTATTTTTACGAATTAGTAATTCTGCTCTTATGAATCGCAATAATTATCATTATAATAACCTTATTTTTGATCCCTTATATACTTGTTTTTGTAATTTATTTACACAGAAATGAAGTAGCACTTGCTGATTTTTCTGCCATTATTCTTGAATGCCATGCTTGATTTTTTTCACATGATGTTTATTGCTTTTAGATTCGTCTGCAATGCTCTAATGAGTAAAGTGTTGAAAGCATCGTTTTCTGAGAACGTAAAATTAACAATACATTGGTACGATTTTTTTGTATTATTGCATGAAGCACGAATTATCAAAATGCCCCAAAATCTTGAAAAAATAATCAATGAGAATTTTAATCAATAAGAAGCTTTTCAAGAAAAAAAATTTTTCGTTCTTATGGTTTCCTGTTATTTTTATCCCATGTACGCCACTGAAGCATTCCTTGGTGCCATCCAATAAGAACAAAGTTGCCAGATGCCTCTGCCAGATGCCTCTAGATTTAACCAATAGGGTACCTTGTGCAAAGAATTTTTGGCAGTTTCTTATTCAGTCAATTCAGTGCGCGGCAGGCAAAAAGCTATCAAAAAATTGAATATCGCTTTATTCAACAAAATAATAAAATTGTAAGAACGTGAAAAGTCACAATTCACACATTTTTTCGATCTCCAATCGGTGAGATATTGTAAAATTCACGTAAGTATAGTTTCCATTCTATATATTTCGACTGGAGTAGTCCGTGTGTGTGGTACAGATACCAAGTCGTTAAAATCAATTTTTAGCTGATATATTGCATGATAGATTTTGATAAAATGTCATGATATATTGATATAACAGCATGGTTCTTACTTGTACCAGTTATGGGCGAGCTGAGAGCTCATGCCCTTGTTAGAATAAGAAATCTCGATTCCTACAGAAAAAGGTCTCTCTAGATGAGATATGGACCGAACATTGCTTGAGAATTAATTGAAAATTTTGTAGGTCTAACACTCAAAAAGAAAAAGATTCCAGAATGACTGATCGCAAGGCAGTTATTAAGAATGCTGACATGAGCGAAGACATGCAACAAGATGCCGTAGACTGTGCAACACAAGCGATTGAAAAGTATAACATTGAGAAGGTGAGATTCAATATACCTGAAAGTGCTTGTCTAGCCACTGTGTTCATTTGAAATCGACTGGAGACATACAATTAAATGTAAAATTTTTGAGGCAAGGGGTCTCTGTATATGAGAGATTGTCAAAATAGTTGGACTCTTAACTGTCCAAGACATTATCATGTATTTCATGTACTTATAGCCTTTGAAAAAAATGTTTCTCAATCCTCATTTTTGAAATAGCCTTTTAAAGGAAGTAATTTTTTGTCAGTAGCAGTATTGTAATCTGATTTTCAAATTATCAGTATACTTCCGGTCATGAGTAATATTTTTGAAGGGTTAATCACGCATTATAATATAATAATAATCTTGTCACAATCACAATGTGGTTTTAGGCAGGGCTATGGTACAGGTACAGCTCTTGTTACTGTTACACAAGATATTGTTGAGGGACTCGATGAGGGAAACTCTGGTTTTCTAGATTTTTCAAAATCATTCGATACCATCAATCAAGGGCTGATTTTCATGAAAAATATAAATGCATTTTAAAGTCTATGAGTATGCTGAGACAAAATATTTTTAACGCTAATTTAGATTATTCATCAAGTGAAGATGATTTGCTTACTAAAACAATGATTTATTTTGGTTAACAGAAGAATCGCAAATTTGCAGAAAACAATTTCCACTTTATAGGTGATACAATGTTGACTCCTGTTAATACAGCTAAAAACTTTGTGCAATCGTTTTATTTTGAGCCAAGCCACTTCAACTACTGTGACTTATCTATATGGGCCATACTTACATGATTCAGATAAAAAAGAATACAAAAAGTTCAAAATTCTTGTTGCCGCCTAATTGATGTAAATCATAGGTATGATTCCATTTATGAAGTCTTTAAAAACTCCCGCTGGCTCACTATGAAAAACCGTATGATTCATCATTAGGGTTGTTTTTTCATAAATTGATTATTTTTTCCCACTCTCCCCTTTTGATACAAAAGCTTATTCTGCATGGAGATATCTACGGAATAAAACAAATTAACTATGCCACAACATCACACTGCACAGTTTCAGAGATCATTTCTTTTCAGTTCTGTGAAATTCTATAATTCATTGCCTGAGCAATTGAAGAGATTCAATATCAGGAAATTCAAATGCAAATGTAAAAATTATGTCTATGGTAGTCTGAAATTTTAATTTTTGTTTATTGAACAAGTCTTCTCTCTTCTATATTTTCAATAAATGTATCCAGTCAGGCATGTTTTCAGATGTCACCCACAATATACAAATCGGGTACTAAGTCAGACGTTGATAATTACAGACCGATATATATATTCTCAGTACATTTTCCAAGATATTTGAGAACATTCTGGCAGATTACCTTGTCTATTATTGCTCTGGCATCATAACTGAACAACAATATGGTTTTTGTGCTGAGAAATCGTCTGAATTAAACCAAGTTACCTATTCCCACTTCCTGTCGGAATCAGTCTGACCTTGACAATCTATCAAATTGGTGCGCCTTAAATGGCATGGATTTGGATGCCACAAAGTGCCTATGTACCTTCTACCACTTTTGATTACACTTCAAATGGTCATTTCTTGGAGTCTGTTGATCAAATAAAAGACCTTGGGGTTGTTCTTGATCCCACCTTGCGCCTCAATCTACATATACTCACAACTATCCATAAAGCCATGAAAATGCTAAGGTTTATCAAATGGCTAACCCACGAATTCTCTGACCCAACTGCTATTAAAGTTCTTTATTGTTAACTGGTCTGTCCACACCTGGATTTTTGTTATTCTGTCTGGTTTCCTCATTGTGTAACTTATATTGAGAACATCAAAAATGTCCAACACAACTTCCTCAGAAACATGGCATATAAATCGGGTGTTCGTTGCAAATATGAGTTGCTACTGCAATCTCTGAGCATGTCCTCTCTGGACACTAGGAGGAAACAGAGAGATATGACACTACTTTTCAATATCATTAATGGCAAATTCGGTTGTGCTGAACTCTTAGAAAAAATGTATCTACATGTTCAAAACCTCTCAACTCGACAGCAACAAACATTTTATGTACAATTTTATCGTTTGAATCACACATTCAATAGCTGCATTCCAAGAATCTTACGATTAGCCAATAGTAATGTTGATTTGGAGATGTTTAACATTCCCTTGTATCATTTTAAAACTCAATTACGGAATACTGTGCTTTGATGTTCTATTGAATAGTTTACAATAGTATATGTGGTATATGTTTTATTGTTGATCTTTGTTTTTTGTCGTTTTATACTCTAAAATTGACCCTTTTTAACAGTAAATTTACCCCTTTTAAGCTATTCTCAGTTGCAATTTGTAATTCAGTACGTATTTGATTTGATTTTAATTATAATTTAACCTTGTAATTTATACTGTAAATGGGCTTGCCCGTAAATAAATGAATGAATAAATCAATAATAAATAAGTAACGGATCAATTTGATTTATCAACTGTTTAGGGGATAAACGCCAATTAATATTTGTGTTAATTTCTGTATTTTTGCAGTTATTATGGAGTGGTGCTTGTTGGTTTAGTTTGAGTAGTTCTGAGCTAAACTTCGCCAATTAGTACCAGAATCTCCTGTAACATTTTTTCTCATTTCTTTGTAATTTTTTTGTATTTTTCAATTTTTAAAATACATGGTTTTCCAAACATTTTCAACTGCTTCAAAGCAATATTAGAAAACGAATTAAACAACTTCACGGAAATGTTTATAGTACAAGTACTTTATTTGATTCAGATGCATATAAATAAGTGTTCAATGGGCATGGAAGGTTAAAAATCATTGCAAATTGTTGTCAGCATTATTCAATTACGTTAAACGTACCTACAGTGCATTTTTCAATTATCCATATAGTAATGTTTTTCTAATGAGGCCCATTTGTACAACCGCAGTCAAGTGTGGTTTAAGTTTTGAACTTTGTTAAAGGCAGGTATTATTCTAACCTTGTCCATTCAATCACATAAGTGGAGATTTTGTAAACCATCGCTTATACACGTAGCTCCGCAGTAAACTTACACTTATACAAACATACACTTATACAAACATACACACCAGTGAAAAATTTGTCATCTGAGATTTTCAAGGACTTATTGGCGGAAATATGAGTTCCAGCAGTAATAGCTATGGTATTAATTCGATAACTGTGCTTGCGTAATTTTGGTTTACAATGTTCCCTTTAATAATGTCAGTGTTAGACTTTATTCTAGCCTTATTGAGGTTAATCCTATTAATTTGTTTATGCTATTTTAATTGATAAAATGAGACAAAAGATTAAGATTAACATGACCATTACTTGATTCTCTTGAGAAAATTTTTGAACAACATTTTGAAATTTAGATAAATGAGATACAGAAAACTTTATTCAGTTATAATTTAGCACATTCATAAGTAACCCGTTAAGGTCAAGCATCAAATAAGGTTTAGCCTCATGATTGCTAACTCTCTTGAAAATTCCAATAAATTTCTATTTTTAAGTAGAAACATTTCTATTTCTCTGTTATATATTTGTGAATTTTTTCAACAGAACACAAATGTTTGTAAGTGCTTTTTCTTTTTTTTAGGATATTGCGGCATATATAAAGAAGGAGTTTGACAAGAAATATAATCCTACTTGGCACTGTATCGTTGGTAGAAATTTTGGATCTTACGTAACACACGAAACACGCCACTTTATCTATTTCTATTTAGGTCAGGTGGCAATACTGTTATTCAAAAGTGGTTAAGCTCCCTATGGCCCTTTTCTATGTATTCCACTACTAGATGATTTTAATTTTTCCAATACCTGAAAATATTTTAACGATTTTGTTTTCACATACTTTCAGACTGCAACAGAAATGTCGGAAGTGTGTTTGAAAAATTTGAAGTTTTATAATAAGGATTTCTTATACTATTTGGAATAAAATTATTTTGTTGATTATTTAGGATTGATTTTTTTGGGGGTTTCAAGTATGACGCACAATTATATTTTGTTCTGCCGTTTTGTGCAATTATTTTCTCTCTACAGTAGACAAAACTGATGTGTGCTTCTGGCTAGAATTATTTTTGAATTTGGAAATGTTATGATGGATAACACGAACACTTGGTTTGTAAAGAGGAATACAGTAAACAAAAAGGGATATCTGTGAAAAGTTGGGAGTTATTTTCCAAATAGAAATGTTGAGTATTCTAATAGTGAAAAATTTCAATTGAATTTACATCAATGATATGTTGAATATCAGATTTATAGTTAGTAATATGGAAACCAAATGGATATACCTTTTGTTCTTTTGATTCGTTAACAAGGAGATGGAATGGAGATCTCAACTGTAGGAAAAGTAAGGAATAGACTAAAAAAAATATTTTTTTGTTTTGAATTTAAAAATGATTCTATCTGTATGTATATATTGCTATGAAAATATAAAATAAGTTGTTATTTGAAAGTATATTATTGAAAACTATCTCTAAAATATGTACTTACCTGTTATGATATTGGTTTTCTTTTGTAAACATCTCTGGAACGAATGGAAATCGTTTCATTTACTTCAACAAAGTTTCTTTGTATATTTTGAAAAGGTAGAGAATTCAAATCAGAATATACTAATATTCATTACTTGACTTTTGACAGCAATGCCTGAGGTAAGTCGTTTTGATTTGAATTTTCTCTGAGATTACTTTTATTTGATAGTTCATTTGAAAGTGTGAAGAGATGTTTCGGTTCATTCGATTTCATTGAGGAAGAATTTCGTCCACTGGGTGTTTCAAATCTGTGTTGCAAATCATATTAATTGATCGAAATTAGTTTTTTTAAATAACAATTTATAGTATGGCGGTTAAAATTCAGTGTTCATGTGATAACAAATTTCAGTGTGAATATGAAAACTGAACATCTAAAATTATTTTTCCAGATGGTCTTGAAATCTCACTTTAAAAGAGCTAATTTCTATTTGTATTGAAGTGATATCTATGAACAGACTTCTAGTAATATATTCTAATGGGGCTTCACCAGATCCATGAAATATTTTTAGATTTTGGTGGTGTCTATTGAGTTGATCCCTGGAATCAACTGAAAACACATTGGTATTCCTCAATTTGTATGGCGGATTGATGATCTTTTGAAATCCGATCTAGAGTTATACTTCTAGAAATTGTTTCAAGTACACGGTTTTGAGAATATGGGACTATTGTATTAGATTAATAGTCACAACATTCCATACTTTTTTGAAGTCTCGAATAATTATTTTGTTAATAACACGAGTCCAGAACCCATGAATTTTTTTTCGATAAGGACCTAAGTTTTTTTTGTACTGTGCAATTTGTTACCCATATTCTCAGCTCCTCATACTATTTAAGGAGATATGAACCTGGTCCTTTCATACAAAACTGTTTCAATTGTATATCTCAATGTAACAATATATGGTTAACAATTAGAATTGTTTAATTTTCTGTATGCTTGGAGTCGAGTCCTAAAGAGAAATTTGTGGTGGAGAAAGATATTAATTTCGATTGTTGAAGGATGGGTGAAGAAATGAAGTCGAGACCATCATCGAAAGTCAAATTTGAGATTACTGAAAGGTATTTTGTTTGTCCAAAGCCTAATTGTAAAAAAAAAAACAATTCATATAATTTTCAAATAAATTCCAAATGCATAAGTTTTGCAGCCTAGTATATGTTTGACTTGATTTTTTAAGTGTCTTCATGATGCTTATTTCAACAATTTTGTTCCCTGTACTATTAAGTTGTTCAGAGTTGTATCCTTTTTTATTTTATGTACACAAATATTTTTTTTACTGTGTGGTGGTATATACTGATTGATAGAGAACTTTGTACCCTATACATTGATGCTATTCATTTTCATCCAAATTTTGATTTTTTTGCTTTAGCTTTTTACTCTATGATGTCGTTAATCTATTTTCGGCCAATTTTTTTTCACGAATTCAAATCAATCAAAACATTTATTGAATCAGTTTTCCATCACAATCACATTAGACAAGAAAAAACATAACATCATAAAATACTGGCTGATTCAACAGGTCAAACAAATACATAAAAAAAAGTTGAGCTACAATCAAATTAAGATTCGAGGAGAATCTCACTGAGCTTATTATATAGCTTAATCCCAATGCACATGGGGTGATTCTTTGATACCGTCAATCTTCTATAAGGTTGATGTAGTTGAGAGTTATTTCTGGTGAAATGTTCATGGATTTGCTCATTTCTAGAAATGATTGAAATATTGTTGTTTATATTGTAACGAATTAAAGAATTCACTGTCTTAAACAAATTTATTTCAACAATACTTCACTATCACAACTAATTTATTTACACCACTCAGTAACTAATGCTTAATTTATCTTCACCGTTTGTTAACCGCTCGATTCGCTTTCTTGGTACAGACTACTCTTCGGGACGATTAGCGACCTTTTTTAGATCGTCAACGAACGTTCTGGATCCCTCTGCGGATTTCGGGACTCATCCGCATCCTTCCCGCTCTTTCGCGGTATTTCGTGATGCGTCATGCGTCGGTCAGGGCCGGCTTCAGATTCATTACAATATATAGGAATCACACGTTAAAAGGTAAGACCTCGTTAGTCCTTAGCTCGCACAAGTTTCTCAACTTCTGAGAGTTGTCGTTCGTATGGGGGCGACAGCTGATTAACGAAAAAACAGATTTTGAACATATCCGTGTTTGGTAGATATACAAACTAGGCATTGTTAATAAACTATAAAGAATGAATAATTACCTGCAGTGATCACTTGAAGATGCACCGGCCAGAATTCTGATTACCTTTTTCTGAATAACAAAAACTTCATTAGCTTTAGCTGATAAGCCCCACTGTTCAAGATCATAGGAAATTACTGACTAAACTGTGGTATAAAAGCTTGAGAACATCAAGAGAGACTGTTTGTTTGAACCGACGAAGTAAATAGGTATATATATTTACTGAGCTTCAGTTTGACACTATTAACATGGAATTTCCAGGTAAGTTTATTGTCAATATCAACACCTAAGAATTTAGTACAATTGATGTAAAGTTTCATTATTTAATCTAACTAAATAGCTTTTATAAATTGTTGAATTTTTAGTAACAAAGTTGAGCAATTGAAATTTAGCATAATTCAGCAGCAGGCCATTTATAGAACACTACTCCTCAATTTGATCAGTTACTTCATTAGCTTTGACAATTACTTCGGACATAGTTCCCGCAGGTGCTAAGATGTTAGTATCGTCCGCAAAAATAACAGTAATGGAAGCTTTTGAACAAAATTTCGGAAGATCATTTATAAAAACCAAAAATAGAAGGGGTCCCAAAACAGAACCTCGAGGTACCCCTCTTGATATATAGTTAAGATCCAACCCAATTCAATGCAGAGCCTCATATATCAAAAAACTGCAATTTGTGTAACAGTATGTCATGGTCAACTAGGTCAAAGGCTTTGCTTAAACCAAAAAATAACCCTAAAGTCTGCTGTTTGTTTTCTAAGATTTCCAGCGCATGTTTAATGAGTTGATCAATTGCACCAACTATAAACATTCTGACTAGAAGAAAATAATCTGATTCAAAGTAATTATATAAACTTTGATAGAAACAGTATTCAATAATCTTAGAAAACTGACTAAGTAGCCATATAGGCCTGTAAGATGCACAGTCAGATCGAGAGCCCTTATTTTTGTATATTGGCAAAACCTTCGACATTTTCAGTATATCAGGACACCTCCCCTCAATGAAAGTGGAGTTAACTATATGAGTTGAAGGCTCAGAAATCACAGTGGCAACCTTTTTAATAACATGACCAGGAATTTCATCAATACCGGACAATTTTTTCTTACAAACTTTTTTGATAACTCGTTCAATTTCCATTTTAGTTGCTGGGTTTAAATAAATATTTTGATAAGCAGATGACATATAATTGAACTAAAGCGCTTTCGAAACAGCCCGAAAAATTAACCAGGCATTTGGCAATGATAGTGTTAATGAATGCACTGTTCGACGTTAGTTTGCAAAACAGTTCCGGATACTTTAGCCTCGAAGACGAGCCCCGAAGTGGTCGACCAGGACGAGGATTTGAGGACCGGAAAAACTGGGCTACAGCTCCAATGAGGTTTTTAATGGTTCAAAACATATTGGAAAAGTTAAAAAGCTTGATAAGTGGGTGGCCCACGATTTGAACGATCAACAAAATTTGTCATGTTTCGAGGTCTGTGCTTTGCTTTTACGCTACCAAAACGATCCTTTTTTGGATCGTCACGTGTCAAGAAAAGTGGATACTCTACAACAGGAGAAGTTCTGTCTCTCCCACCATACTCCCCAAACCTCTCGCCAACCGGCTGGACAAATCCTATACATACTTATAAGTCAAACGGATAATCAATAAATAAATGAAATACCTCTTGCCAACTGACTACAATCTTTTAAAGCGTTCGATAACTTTCTCACCGGTAGAACCTTTGCCAATCAGGACCATTGATTAAGTTTTCACAGAGATTTTGCAGTTTAAATTAGACTCATAAAAACGGGAAAAACAACCTACTATATGTTCATTATGGCCTTGAATATCAGAAGTCAAATATTGAAATCTATTTTTAGTAGAACAGGATAAACATGTTCATTCATAGGTAGCTGTTGTAGGAGGAACTACAATATGTGCATTGTTTTTTTTTGATAACAACAAATGAAATAAAACAATGCCTTCAATACTTCAATTGTATTTGAACTAATTGTATTTCGGTAATTACATACAAAATTGATAAATACATAATAAATAGTACTTGGCTATATTCATTCGAGATATGAATTCACTGAAAGGCACATTTTTTATCAATATGCAGAGTACAATCTAAAAGTATAAGACCCTTGCTGTGGGGATACTATTTACAGGAAGATGTAAAAAAATATTTCCAATAAAACAACAAATACCATGAATGAAACATCAAAAATATTTTGATACATCTTGTTACATTCCAAAAAGTACATAACTATTAGGAAAATAAAAGATTACCTGCGAGATATACTGGCAGTTAATCACAAGAAAAATATATTTCTAAGTAAATAATTCAAATAATACATAGCTAAAAAAATCGAAAAATGGAGATCTGAATTTGTAAATTTCATTCTTAACTGTATGTAAAACGTTTTTTCGTGTTAATGCTGATCATTATGAATGAAGCAAAACTATGCATAGTGAATTGAATATAAAGAATCATGAACTAACTAAAAACTAATATAATCAATTGATAGATTTAAGAAATATAAAATGGCAAATAAACAACAATTTGAGCAAAATCCAAAGACTAAAAATAGGACAATTCACATATTAGTTTCATATTTTCAGCTATCCATGTAAGGAATCGAGCAAAACATTTTATTCACCAAGAATTGATTTCATTGTTTTATAATTCAACATCATTTGAAATCACAGTTGTTTCGAGAAATATACAAATTCCTAAATGTAACTCCTAGCTACTGAATGATAAGTTACAGATATAGTTCCAGAAGCCACTCTAGAGAATCTGTATTTACTTAAATATGGACAGTTCAAAAATATTTTTATTCAACTAGTTGAATAAAATTCAAGTCAAAACTTTCTCGAACGACTTGTATTGAGGAGGGGTATTTCATATCACATAAATTTACTAAAATATATCATACTTATTCGAATGAAACATGTGATGTGCGGATACATTTACACGTGCATAGTGATCAAAGTTCATTCTTCTCTCCAAAGAAACTTTTGGAAAAGCTAAACTTACTTCGAGTGTAGAGGGACTGATTTCATTACTTACACATTCAATGAAAACTGCGGAAATTGTATTCAATGTTTGAATAATTAAAACAAGATGGTAATACATCACAATAATCTGAATGGGATTGAATTTTAAGACAATCAAAGCTTCAAAAACACATCTAGAAAATTTTTGGTGTTTTGGTCCAGTCTTGTCAAAAATTGAAAGTGATAGCTTCAAATGAAAGAAACTTGTAGGGACCAGCTGACGTTGAAGTAGAATATACCAATCAAGTATTTTTTCATCATTTCAAAATAGGTAACTGAAAAATTTCTAGTCAAGGTCAGCCAGCAAAGTCTGTTCAAAACTTGAAAATACTTTTCAACAATTATATCACTGTGTCACAGCTATTTTCCGTTTTCATTTTTGACTATGTTCATTGCCATGAACAGGCAATGAACATTAATAAAATCTAGCTATCCATCCTTAATTGTACACGAACAAGTTCAGGTAATCCAACTGGGAGAAAAGAAGCCACGCCTACAAATAATATAAAACCAGAGTCAATAGTTTCTGCATTGGGAGCAACAACTCAAGCACTTTGACCGTTACCTCATGCCTTTGATAATGTCTACCGTAGTAGTAGACGAAACGTCAGGCATAAAAACCTGCAGATCGCGGTTGAAAATCCCGGAAAATAGCTTTGACACAATTTCCTCTAGCCGTGAAAGTTTACATTCTTTGATCAATTATATCACTGATTTTCAAATTTGTGAAATCCCAGATATTACCGAGCTGCATAGAAAATGCAATGATAACAGTTTTTGAGAGAGGCTTTGAAATTTTATTCTACTGAGTAATTGTTCAAAAACATTGTTTTAAAGTTTTTTGAATCGTTGGAATTTGCAAAAACAATTAGTTACTGAGTTATTTAATTTCAAAAATCAAGAAATGTCTATAAAATCAGTAATGAGTTATGTTTCACTTAGAAATTGAATATATTTATACCTTAGACAAAAAATCAGGGGGGGTAAACGAATGTAAAAAGATGAATACCACCAAGAAAAGTTATACTATTCATGAGGCTCGGGCTTGTCTTACAAAGACACCAGTCCAGCATCACTTTTGAGACTTATGATGGGTCTGGTGTTGATCACGATTTTTTTTGTTTTTGGCTTATGATTTCAACTTTGAGGCCAATCAAATATGGGAAATTGGGAAAAATATACCAATTCAGAGATGATAGAACACAAATACAAAAATATCCTTTCCGTAAGGTTTTCTTATCAAAATGTGCAGCTCTAAGAGGACGAAAATTAGGAGTATATTTGAGGCTTTCAGGCTGACTATGACATATAATTGTCACCTTTTAGATGGGACAGAAGCTGAATAACGCAACAAACAATTAAACTTTTTAAATACCACTCATTAAGACTGCTTGAAACAGAAGTGGGAGATAAGTGAGCACAATTGATTGCCCATACGAACCTCTTCTTGTATTCATGATTGTATGTATGATTGCTCATATGAACCCCTTCTTGTATGTATGTATGATTGCATGCTCATATGAACCCTTTCTTGCATGTACGATTACTCATATGAACTCCTTGTATGTATGATTGCTCATATGAACCCCTTCTCGTATGTATGTATGAATGATTGCTCATATGAACCCCTTCTTGTATGTACGTATGATTTCTCATTTGAACCCCCTTCTTGTATGTATGTATGATTGCTCATATGAACCCACTTCTTGTATGAATGTATGATTGCTCATATGAACTCCTTTTTGTATGTATGTATGATGGCTCATGTGAACCTCTTCTTGTATGTAAGACAGAAAAATTGGGCATGTATGTAATGTGATAGTACTAACTATAGTGCAGACAAGCCTAAATAACAGCTTCTTCAGCTATTGTATAGCAATAACAGCTTCTTCAAGTGTGTCTATACTAACTGTCTATACTATAGCTAGTATTATAACGCCTGTATAGTATAGCTTGTATATGAATATGTATTATGGAACACGTGTTGCTTTTCTGAAAAACACTTCATTGAAAATTTCTCGAAAAGTTACTAAACTACGTGAGACGTGTATGATGTATGATTTTTAATTGCAACAAAAAATATCCATTTCATATTTGATTGATCCAGGCACTTATTATTTTCCGATAGTTTCTACTTTCTTAAAGTACAGTGTCTTTTTGAAATGCATTTTTTCTAACTGGGCCGCATATTCAAAATAAGCACAGTTTGTAAATTTCAAAAACCCGATCACTTGTGATTTTGTATTCTGGGATTTCACCATCTACTTCAAGTGCTGGTCAATTTACATAGAACGTTTGACCTTTCTTTGGGCCAAGAAAAACAAGAATCACAGTTTCACAGTATTTGATTATCTTTTTCGAATATTCGAATTTGTATTGATCTCGGTATTAGAGAAAAATCCCAAAGTCCTCAAAGTGGATGATACCCTAGCCACTAGGGTATCTTTGAACTTCCATATCGTAGTATCCATCACGCTGGTTTTTCGAAACTCTTCACAAGTTTTCTTCAGGGTTTTCACACAATCAGCTCTATAATGGTGAAGTTGGGCATCTGTAGTTTCGATGGGATAACTCGTACATCCACTACCCAGGCAACTCAGAGGAAAGTGGTTGTGTAGGGTCAGGACCTTTTCTGTATTGTGGAAACATTTAACGTATTGTCCTGGTTTTGTGAAATTTTTTGTTCGGTATACATGCTGCATCATGTGCATGTATCTGCAAAAAATAAAATGAAATATTACTAAATCAGATATAGAAAAGTGAATGAAAATAAAAACAACCGAATTTAGTTCAAACTAATGAGAAGCATGAATTAGAAAAAATCTGAAACCGCTAATTCTCATTTGGTTTCACAGATGATCAATTGAAGTCAGGATTAAACGAAAGATTTTTGACACAATTGATCACTGTATGATTAAAAAATTGAAAGGTATCAAAGGAAATGCTCTGAAAAGGTTTAAATTATATTTTAAAGTCCGAATGCATGTCGCTAAAGCTGAAAATATATTTAAAATTGAAAGGGGTTTATTTTGAAATTGAATGCTTTCTTTGTTTTTGAGAGATTCCCACATTTTTTGTATAAAGATGAAAAAG